ACCGTGAATTCACTAGTTCTCAAGGGAGTCTGACTCATCTGTATGCAGTAAGAGCAGCACGCTGTGTGTATCTTTTAACCACAGCGTGTCTGCACTTTTGAATGGCTGATTGGTTCATTTCAAATTCATTAGGACACATTCATATCGATTAAAAGGAAATACTTCCTCTACCAAATGCAGCAAAATAAACTCGTGTGATCTCAGAAAGATGCCTCTGACTTAAACATACAATAATCAAGATGGAGGCCTGAGTCATTGGTTAATGAGACGGGCCTTTTGCCAGAAACTACTGCAGCCATTTATTTTTCTCAACGCTGGTGGATGAACTTGAGTTCACACATCGACGTCGGAGAATTTTGAAACAGGGATTAACGATAGATAGATTTATGTGATTTATGAAAGATTCATGACCCCACTCCCTCTCTTATTAAATGCTATTACTTCATTGCGCTGACGTATGATTTACTTCCTGCCTTACCTGCATGTATTTATAGAGCAGCACCACTAGAATGAGGCTCAGCAAGATGCCAGTGGCCACCATGCCGGTTAGAAGAGGAGTGAAGAGTTTGTGGGGGACGATGCGCTCTGAGAGGAAAACACACACACGCCAGGAGTAATCAGAAATCACACGGAGCGCTGAAGTACACACACACACACACACACACACACACACACACACACACACACACACATACATACAAAGCAGTCAAGCGCTCACACGGTCACATCCTCCTCCCCAGTGTCAAGACAGACAGCTGCAGCAGTGGTGTTTCGTTTGCGTGCCGAGGATAAGCGAGTCCGCACAATATAATCCCAGCCTGCACAGTCAGCATACACTAATCTCATTCAATCTGCACCCAGTAGCCACACAACTGGCTCAATGGGTTTGTGTGTGTGTGTGTGTGTGTGTGTGTGTGTGTGTGTGTGTGTCGTACCACTGATGGAGAACAGCGTGTAGGCCTCCTCCCCCTCCGTGCTCGCCACGCACTCCAGTGTATGATAGTGCGCGTGCTCCTTGCTCACGTTCAGTCGGCTCACCACCTCGCTCCGACCGAAGGTGGACTCTGTCACCATGGGGACGTCCGGAGTCTCCCATTGGGTGGCATTGGGCAGGTGGGAGCACCTGTTGAGGCGTTATGACGTTGTTTCATGTTTTCCTCTCATGGTTTTAGCACAAGGATGAAATGATTGCAACCACGGCCACTCTCAACTTCTGTGCTACTCATTCTGGCAATAAACCAATTAATTGTTAAGCCCATACAATCAAGGTTAATGTCTTAAACTGCTTATATTGTGTTGACCAACCGTGAAAATCCGGCTGGCTTAGCTGTCTGAATACTAATGAGACTATGAGATCACATAAAGCACTCTTTCCCATGAGCCTCTACTGTTCTCAGAGGAACTGCCAGACAAAACAACAGAAGGTGTTGAAGATTATTGTGAGTAAAATGCTCCGAAGTCACACTGCTGTTCGGTTACAGCTTTTAATATGAGCAGCAGGGAAACCCAAGGTTTTTTATTTTACTTATATATGTAAAGGTAAATTTAAATGTATGAAAAAACATTTCTTATTTCTATATCTTATTGTTTGTATTACAAAATCGACATGAAACTGAACTAAGAAGGATAAACAACATGAAAAGTCTGTTATTACATCATCCCTTTCTACATAATCTAATGAAAATAAAGACAGAACAGCAAAATACAACATTAAAGATGTCAAAGTTTCCCATCCAGCTCCAAACAATAAAGCAGCTGTGTATCAGTCTTATTCTGATGTAAGCAACTTCATAAAATAAATAAAGCGACCTAAATATATTTTAGGCGTACCTCGTGTGGGGCAGCTCACAGAAGTACCAGCTTATTTTAGGGACTGGGTAACCGGCGGCGATGCACCGCACCTGTCCATCAACAGGGCCTTCCTGGGCGAGGATAACCGGCTTGCCTTGTAGGGGAAAAGGTGTGCAGATTGATAAAAAAAAAAGAGACACACATATTTAGCATAGAAAACGTATAAATACTGAATGCAATGCACCAACTGTGAGAGCCACTTACTGATGACGTACACCTGGAATGAATGGTTGACAGACGCGTCCTCGTGGCTGGCCGAGAACTTATAGATCCCGCCCTCCGAGCCGAAGACCCTCACAAGTCGGAGCTCGCTGATGAGTCTGATGAAACAAAACGCGAGTTTTCCTAATTCTGCGTGTGTGCACATGCGTGTGGCACTTGCAGTGGAACTCGCACTGCGAACTCTACCTGTACCTGTATTTGCGGCGGTGGATGGTGATGACGTGCTCTGTGGTGTTGAGGAGCCGTTTGCCGTTGTGGGACCAGGACAGGGACCTGGGGGCGGGGTAGGCATTGAATTCCACTCGGAGGCTCAAGCTCTCCCCCTCTTTAACGTCGGCCTGGACCGGACTTGGGCTTCCTAACATGGTGATGAACCCCTGATCTGGAGGGGCATCAGAAACACACATACTTGAAGAAAAAGTCCACCTGCACACTTTACACAGTAGTCCATCTATGTGTCTACGTGTTGCAGATAAGCAAAGGTTATACTGTAGATGCTATGCGTGTCATCTGTGTATTCCTTGTGTTTAATGCCTTGCAGATACCTACTTGTGTTTCTTCAACCTACGATTTTGGCAAATCTTTGCTTTTTTCCGGAACATCATTTTCTTTTGCTGCACCTGGTCTGACAAGTGCGTCTTGCCTAACTCGTGTCCAGACTCATTTCTGACGTTGTCACTGGTATATAATATCACACTTTAAATAATGACAGCTGTTCTCCTGAGGCGTCTACATATTTGCATACTATGCAAATTTGAGATCATAAGTCATGAGTTTTCCAGTGAACATTCCTGTGAATACCGTGAAGGAAGGGTGTTGGTGGTGTTTCAGAGGAGCCCAGACAATGTTGCTTAGAATCCAGTTGGTGACGTTGTCTGTGTCTGTATCGACACACATGCATGCACGGAATAAACAAACCATCTTCAACACTCACCTCGGACATCCAGCTGCAGCGCTGTGGCACTGGCGCCTCTCTTGTTGTGGGCGTGGCAGCGGTAAGTGCCCGAGTCCGATTGGTTGACCGCTGTGATCAAGAGTGAGGTGGCACGTTGGTAACCGCGTGAACCGGACAGGATGTGTGAGGTGTGGGATTCATCAGGGTGCTGCAGGGCATGGGGGGGGGGGGGGGGGCAAAGGTCAGCAGGTGCATCGTCACACAGATCCACTGTTTTCAAGGTGGCATGCTTCAGATAGATTATTTACGACATTTATTTACAACATGGCGACCGCTGAGCCGGAGGCTCGCTGCTATCGCTGCTAACAGCGCTAATAGTGGAAACTACGCCAAAAGCGCTGACAGAGCTAGTAGTGTTAACCTGAGGGGGAACCAGAGGGTGGATGCTACACTTCTTTGACTCCGCCTTCGCTCGGGACGGAGTTATCAGCTGTAACTACCGTGGGAAAGCAGAGCGGAGGCTGTGAGCTAGCCAGTGGGCCACATCTACCTTATCTTTACATAACAAATAGTTGTTTGCTGCTATATTAAAGCTCTGAATCCCATATATTGCATTTTTAATATTAATCTTAAACAGCTGGCTTAACTATTAAAAAATCCGGAACAATAGTCAAAATGCTCTTGCCACCAACCAAACTTACTAAAAATGATCTGGAGTATTTAAAGTTATCACAATGTTTCAAATATAATTTATCGATTTAATTCAAAGCATTCTCTGCACTGTCGGGTATACTATTATTTTCAGTGTAAACATCTCTCTGTGTCTTGGATTGGTAAGGGTTAATGTGCTTTAAAGAGGGGCAGCGAGTCAGATAGAAACACAGAAAGCTTCACATCCTGACAGTCAGTCACCCCGGACATAAAGAGGCCAAGGAGAAGCCGGTCAATCCCTTCATCAATCTCACCGCGGTTGAAGGGAAATCCCATTCGACACTGAATTCCAGGTTGACGTTGGCGGAGCTACAGGTAATCTCAAACTGTTCTCCTCTCCTCAGGATGACTGTGTCTTTCTGGGACAGCGTGATCCCTGGAGGCACCTCTGGCACTGGATCAAGAGATGCAAAAACAACATTATCATGACAGATATGATTGAATGACTCATTTAAACTCACTAGTGGTTGCGTGTTATTGAGCAGTCTGAAACGACTGTATCCGTATTCAATCGTAAAAGACCCTTGAGGGTGTGTGACTCCAGTTAGTGAACAAACACACACTAACAACAACGCACACAAGTACAGTATTTGCATACGCAGACACTCGTGTGCAAATAAACCTGGGATAAACCTTGAATATTATTTTCTGGCGTCACTTCAGTGGCTGTGTTTGACGAAGACTGCGGTAATTCTGTTTACAACAGACACAGCCTTCATGCACCGTTACAAAGCTTTGTTGGGTGTGGGACTCTAATCCCTCCGCTCCTCCCTCCCTCAAGTCTCTTTTCTCACTCCCTCTCTCCAGCAGTCAGAAGGACACTGCGCCCCGGCTCCTCCCAGCTTTGCCTCTGTTTTAGACTTCTTCCCACTGCAGACCAGACTGAAAATGCTGACGCAATGCAGAGACAAATAGAAACATGATCGGTTCCAACAGACACTTAGAAATGCTTTTATGGTACATTTGCTATTAATATAGCTGATATGAAAAGCTATAAGCCAACCCTCTTCTACCAAAACACATCTGCAATGTGGACAGTTGCTGTGACTGCCACTGATCTCTGCCAGGATGCATTATGGTCTCCTATGAAGATTTGTAGCCATGGCAGCGGCTCTGCTGGCCTGTTGGGCCACCACTCTGGTTCAGACTGAGGTATAGAAGGTTTTTTTTCTCCTGGCATTAATGGTCCCCAGTAGGTGAATTCATTCTGACTTTGGTGATCAATTTAAATGTTCACAATACATTGTTTTGCGATAAAACAACCTCCAAAACGAATGACATTCCCACTATTTACTCTGTTTACTACTAATTAGCAACTAGCACGCTAACATACATACACTCATAAAACGCCATACCTGTTTACAATCAGGTAGTTATCATTGTGAGCGTGTTAGCATGCCAACATTGGCTTTTAGCTCCAAAGCACCACTGTATATAAGTACAGCCTCACTGTGCTACTAGTGTGGCTGCAGACTTGGTGTCTTGTTTACTTATGTATGATAAATGATTTGTCTATAATAAACCACAAGTCCACTACAAAGAAACTGCTGTTTCAGAGTTTAGTAGCGCCTTTATAGCTGAGTGGTTGCAGCACATGCCATATAACCGCCTTGGGACCTTTGTTGTATGTCCTACCCCCCCCCCCCCATTTTTACATTGTCCTCTGCTAACCCAAACCAAAAACGCCCCTAACAATCATTCAGTTTAAATGAGCTCAACATATGATTTTCCATTTCATAACTCATATGACGACGTGTATCAGAAGAATATATTCTATTAACCGTTGTTGTCCTCACATTGTCCCGCCCTACAGCTTTGTTGTTCCGCTGGTGACAACCTCTTTGTGTGCACTTTAGTGTTTACTCTAACTGACACAAGCATTGGGAACATTTGCATTATGGTTTCCCCAGAGGCATTAGCAAAGTCAATTGCTTTGGCTTCATCTTCCACTGACTCATTACTGGGAGGCTGCACGAGGCATAACTAAGTTTACAAGCTCGGACTTTATAGATCTGCCCTCAAATACTCATTTTTAACCCTTTTAGCTTAATTATCACCCAAATGACAGATCTAGAAAACCTATGCATGAAGAACCATTAAACACTGGTATACTGCGTTGCAAACCCCAGCATGTCTCTCACTTACCGAGTCCTACATCCACTGTGTATTGGCTCGACGTCACTTTGACCCCAGCCAGCTGTCCCACGCACACGAAACAGCCCTCGTACTCCTTCCTCACGCTGCTGATGGTGACGCCTCGCTGAAGGTGGCTGCGGTAACTCATGCCAGGGGGCAAAGGTCGTCCATCGCAGGTCTCCAGGTCCAGGAAGGTGACCTCGGGGTCGGTCACGAGACAGGGGATGGTGCAGTTCTCCCCTGCGCGCACCAGGATGACGTCCACCATGGTGCGGTGGAAGACGTTCTGGGGGTCTGAGGAGACGAGAGGGTGATTTGCGTTGATTGACGCATCACACGCACCCGTGCGAATCACGTGTCCCTGCCCCCTCCACCTCAAAACACCCACCTTTGACGTATACGTAGATGGAGCTGTGTTCCAGCGTGCTGTTGTTGACGCACACATAGCGACCCGCGTGGTAGGCCTGTGCCGTCGCCACCTTGACGTAGGCCGCTCCGCCCTCCTCCACCTCTCCCTCCAGCCTGCGAGCTCTCTCCCTCTGCCACCTCAACCCGGACTGGGCGCCGGACGTCGTGGCATTGTTGCGGCAACGCAGCTCCAGCCTTCCCCTCTTGGGAACTACAACGTGGGGCCCGCTGGGGGAGATGACCGGCTGGCACCAAACTTTGAGACAGAGCACAGAGGAGGTAATGCGGATTACGTAAAGTCGCCAGACAGTGTCACTGATGTAGATGAATTATATGCTCTGGGAGGAGTTGCGAAAAAGAGATAGGAATCCATGAAAATAGCTTAAACAGGACAAAGCAACTAAAGATTGCCGTCATTAGCGATTAGTTCCCAGGTTATTTTGGAGATGAATCCTTTAGTTGTCCAGTCTATAAAATCTCCACCAGTTATGTACATACGTGATGGTTAAATGGGATGTAATGATTGGAACGGAGCCCCTTGGGACAGAGTGCTATCAAACCACCACGGCTCTATTGAACAATCAATAATTATGTGCTGTCTACCCGCTGAGTAATCATGCATTAAGCTCCCTAAACCCACTCCCTTGAGTGTACTAAACCAACATTTCTCAGTTACCCCCCCCTCCAATTCCAACTTTTGTTTTATCTTTCAGATTTCCACATGATAGGCACCATTTCAAGAACAGGATCTTCATGTGACCGTTGTGCCTTCGGGGCTGCATGGAAGACGGGCTGAGAAGTCAAGGAGGAGAAGCACGTGGATGCAAAAAAAAGAAAACTCAAAAAATATCAATATCTGTGTTTGTGCAGGCTGCAAAGGGCATGTTTTATAGCCTGCCGCTACTGTGAGATGCAGTCGGTGTTTGAGAAAGTAAAACACAAAGGTTTCAAACAGAACCTGGGGCTGTTTTATATGACTAACACACAAGGCTATCATCACAGCAGTCGGAGCTGGGTAAATGTCAAGGTGCTGCTGGGTGTGTTTTGTGCGTAAAGATGTGCGTTTCCAGGCTCTTCTTTGTTCCTTCTGCTGGCCGCGCAAAAGCACACAACTTAATCCCGGTTTTATTTCGGTGGGATGAATAATTAATCGTCCTCGAACGCACCAACACAAACACACACACACACATTCTTACACACACACACACACACACACACACACACACATTCTTAAACACACACACACACACACACCTGTTGCCTATCAGGAAAGGCAGCCCAATGGCATCTCCCTCGCATGTCAACCCAACAGTATAGTTATGCAAATGATCTGAAGACGTGAGCTGACAGGTTGATCCAACTGCACCGTTAAACGCCACTTGGGTGTGTTGAACGTCCCCCATGTTTCCAGAAACAACGTGGAGACAGAAAATGTGTGAGCCTCAAACAGCATATGATACATGCCGCTTTTTTAATATATATTTTTAAAACTGTTCACATCTAATTTAGTGTAATTAAGGGTGGGAAATACTTTAAATAGTGACACTAACAAAATGTAGGGCAATAATCTGGAGATAGAGCAACACTTCAGTGAAATGAAAAGACCACTGTAATACTCTAATGCGAAGGAGTATATTAAAATAATTTCGTAATGACGCATAAAGTACAAAGGCATCGTCACTCGTGTCCTTTGGAATAAGATATAACTGAACTATAATGTATGAGGCTATTGTAAGGTGATGCGATAAAATGAGGTCACTATAAAGTCATTATTGCGAACACAGACACGCCACGAGTCGCTAAAAGCAATATTTCAACAACATTCCACTTGTTTTCTTACCTGTTAGTGGCAGCAGAACAAAATGCGAGGCGAAAGCCACCCAGGGGCATCTCATGATTGAAGCTTTTTTTTCTTTTACTCTACTCCGCTTGTTTCAAGTGCAGGAACGATCATCCTGCGCTTATCCATCCATCCACAGAGCAGGTACCTCCACGGCGCTGGGCGCACAAACACAACGATCAAGTGCGGCTGCGACTCCCCCCCTCCCTCTGCGATGGAGTTCACTGGAGCTTAAAGACACAGTGCAGCGCCTCTCCTCCCCTGCTCCGGATTCCTGCCACTCCTTTCTGTCCCGCTTTGGCTGGAGATCGGCCAAAGTGATGAGTCGGGAGAAAAAAAACACAACAGCACACGGATCTCTCCAAGCCATCCTTTTTACACAGTCATTGCCAAAAAAAAAAAAAAGTAAATTAAACTTAATGGAAGAGCTGGCTGTGATTTTCAATGGGATGACTATAAATGTTTATCCCGGACGTGAATGCAGCATCATGACGGGTGACAGCCACTTCTCACACTTCTTGATGACGGCTCTCTCACTTGGCAGGAGTTTCCCTCTATACAGAAACCCGTCCAGTTTGTGATGCGCTTCCGATGTCTCGCGTTTCCCCGCTGTAATCAGCACGATCGCATCGTGGTCTCACTTTCCCCCCCAGATCAACTATAATATCCCACTATGCATCATCGCGTGGCTGTGTGTACGACCCACTACACTCCCAACAATATTACATGTGTGGCATCAGTCATACAAGACTTGTTTTGGATAGTGTTATTCTAAGGGAAAGTATAGATAATAATAATAAGGATACAAACACCAACACTGACGTCTTTTGTTGTTGTCCCGCTGAATGAATCAAAAACACAACTGTTCATGAACATAGCACACTTTATTCCCCAGATGTTTTTGCCTTCATATGCCCAAAACCTGCATTTTTTTAGTAGCTCTTCACAAATGTATTATTTGCTATAAATAGGAATCCCTGAATGTCTTATAATATTACATTTGTTATGGTAACCCCTTAAATTGGTTGGGGCCTTTGCCTGGTTTGGTAATCCAGTTTTAGTCAGGAGGTACCAACATTGTGGTAAATCATGTGGTTACAAGAGACCAACAGGGCGTGGGATTTCTCAATCCTTCTTCGTCATAATCCCAAAAAGCAACTTCATAGACCAGATAAAGATGGACTATTGGGCTGTGACAAAGAAAGAATTAAGAGAAACACATTAAAGTAATTTGCCACTTAATTCACTTTATGCCTTAGGGCCGGCTCTGCATATTTAAGTGTGTGTGTGTGTGTGTGTGTGTGTGTGTGTGTGTGTGTGTGTGTGTGTGTTTGCATGGTTTGGTTATGTGCAGGTGTTTATCTTCTGGTCTGTGTTTGCTGTTGCTCCAGAGGAATATGTGAGAGGACACTGGGGCCGTTGTGTTTGTTTCTAACCTCACTGTACCGCCCCGTGGCATTATGCCTTTTTTTCAGCACATGATGGCAGGATGACGCTAAACAAACTTAGAACAGAAGCAGAACTTTTCTTGAATTGATTTTTTTACCTCATTAGTTTGTGCAGTATAATTATCTGGAAAATGTGACTGGTAATAAAAAAGAAGAAGAAAAAAAAGAAGCCGTGGGCAAATCTAACTTCTGCAAACACACACCCATTCCGACTGGGGCACAGCTTTATGACTTTTGGACAGTTTTCCTTCCTGATGTCTATGCAAAGAGGACCAACTGCCTGTTATTTTGGAACCAAAGTCCAGTTAGATCCTGTCCTTTGGGTCATTCTGATATTGCACGATTTTCCTGGGAAATTGCACCAAATAGACTTGTGGATCTTCTTGTGATGCCATGCACCCTTTGGGGAGTGATGATGTTAGAGGGAAGGGAGGGGGGTTTTGAATGAAAAGCCTGGGGGTCAGAAAGGTCAGCCTCAGCTCGACCATGTGCTCGACAAAGATATTATTGCAGATAGCGATGCCTCAAGTGGGTATTTCACATTTGCACCATGAAGCGTTTGGTTGTTTCTCGTGCAAAATCGGGTCGCACATCTTAAAGGACACGCAGCCTGAGAGCTTAACCCAAATATTTGTCATGATGCATGGCCTTGGCCTCAGAAAAACACACACTGAAGGAATAGTTTAACAATTTGGGAAAATATGCGTATTGATGATCTGATGGAGGATTAGATGAGAAGATTACTACCACTCTTATGTTTGTGTGTTGAATAAAATACTACAGCGGTTAGCGTAGCTTAGCACAAAGACTGGAAATGGCTAGACAAGCAGATTAGTTTAGCGGATTAGATAATTAGTGGACTTTAGGGGGGCTGGTATGTTAACTTTGTTACCTTTGGACAGAGGCAGGCCAGCTATTTCCCCCTGTTTTCAGTCTTTGCGCTAAGCTAAGCTAACCAGCCGCCAACTTATCATCCAAGTCTCCAACCGAAAGTGAATGAACCCATTTCAATGTTGAACTTTTGCTTCAGCGGCAGATTGACTTCAGCAACGAATCTTCTGTTGAGTTTCCTGCACGCAGACAAAGGAAACCTGCACCTCAAGGTGTCAAAGTACAATCCACCTGTCCGCCAGCTGCCCCCTGTGAAAGGTGTCGCTGTGTTTGCTCGCGTGTGAGTCCATCAGAATCCTCCATATGTCTGCTGTCCACCGAGTTCACATGTCATGTGAGCAGCTTATACTATGCCTTTCCCTATTACATTATTCATCATTGAGGTGAGCGTCTATGGCAGATCTTGGCTGACTCACTGTGACTCGGTGTGTGTGTGTGTGTGTGTGTGTGGACCCACAGCATGACTCACTCAGTGCTTTTAGACAGATGAGGACAGCGGTCTCATAGAGGGCAACGGAGGTTTTTATACAAGAAAAATAGCCACTTAGATTAGATTACGTAATGAAAAAACATTCCTCTCTCTCTCTCCTCTCTCTTATTCTCTTTCACCTTCCCCTTTCTACCCTCTCTCCTTTTTAGTGATGCACACGCACACGCACACACACACACACATCCTAACTCAATCACCTACAAATGGATCTTCACACCCTCAGGCAATCACGTACGTATACGCCTTCTTTGGCTGTTTTCACAAAACCAGGAGACAGTCAGGAAAACGCACACACACACTTGCACACACAGGTTTAAACTTAAAGAATACCTCATCTTTATCTTTTCTCTTCCCAATGATTGGCCAATGGCTCAGCATAAGCTTCTTTTTTTCTGATGCAATCCAACGCTGCTCTCTGTCTGCTGACTGGGCATTACAAACCTGATGTCTGTGTCCATTTGTCTTCCCTCTCCTTTAATACAGTCAGTGCAGAGGAGTTTTTTTCTTTTTGACCCACTCTGTGTGGTTGTTAAGTGTCCATCCATGGTTCAATTGTGGTGTTTCACATATCAATTATGACCCGTGGAACAGAACGGACTAAGAGGTGGGTCAAAAAAAAGAAAAAAGATAAAGACCATTTCCTCAGAGAAACAATGTATGGCCTTAGTTTCATTGAGCCTTATAACTTTAAAGGAAGAGTTGCTTTTCTGCTATCTGTTAGAGTTAAACGGAAGAGAGATACAACTGTCATATCTGTCTATTTTTGTAATCTGCACAAAAACCAAAGTACAATAGAATATTTTTTTTAAAAAGACAATTTTGGGGCTGGACCATTTCACGGCCAGACACAGTAACATCCTGGAGTCTTCACTGGTTGCCTGGCAACTGCTCAGAGCCAAGAAATAGTTGCTTATTAGTGAGCTTTAGCAAGGCTGGAAGGTGGATTGTGTTACCTTTGGACAAAGCCAGGCTAGCTGTTTCCCCCCGTTTCCAGTCTTTGTGCTAAGCTAAGCTAACTGGCTGTAGCTTCATATTTACGGTACAGACCTGAGAGTGGCATCAGCCTTCTCATCTAAATCGCTGCAGAAACCAAATGAGCATGATTCCCAAAACTATTGCTTTAAACATTATCATAAGGGGAGATTGTTAGTTGCGGAAATTGTTGTTTTGCTCAAATCTTAATTGCACATCAGTGTACAAATAACAGTTTCTGTAATCACATTTGTAACAATTATCTCATATTCTGAGGCCTTATCTTATGACACAAACATTTATTTTTACGACAGATGGATCTTTGTGTTGCAAAACAATAGAGTTGAAACTGCGGTGTTAAGCTGCCGTGTTTGGCGTCACACTGTTGTGATGACCACATGTTAGATCCAAAGAGATGATATGGATTGAAAATGTGCCAGGGCACATATCTGAGTAAGGTAATATCAGCACGTGTAATTACTGATAGTCCAATGATCGCCCTCTGTCTGGATAAACCTGATTAGCATCGACTAGGCTGTAAGAGGGCCTAATCCCCCGTAAGGAGAGAGGGATGGCTGCAGGGAGGGAGGGAGGGAGCACAGAGAGAGGCGGGAGGATACAAAGGGTGAAGGGGAAAGGAGAAAGGGGAAATAGAGGCAAACAGGGTGCAAGAGGATGGAGGAGTAAAATACTGTTGTTCATTATACAGAGAGGAGTTTCTGTTATTTAGTCTACCCTCACTGACATGAATGGGGTGGACAAAATAATAGAGACACCTGTCAGCGTCACACGTCAATGGAATATCCTTTAATTTTCTTTCAATATATTTCAACGATTTCTTTGCAAAAAATAGTTGTTTTTTGTCATGGCAGTGTACGTTATGGTGATGTGGTTGTAGAGTGTTATAGTCCGTGCACTGTTGCTGCCTTTTGAAATCAATATATTTCCAAAACGTTGACTTTGAGCTTACTAGATGGTTCAATTCAATTTTTCAAATAACCCGATGGGTTTCTAAATGTTTTATTTTGTTGAAGATGTGTGAATGTTTCTGTAAGGAACACTAAATCCCTCCTTTTATTTGATGACATCAAAATCTCGAAGTGTGGGGACTTTTTTCACCAGTACGGTGTGTACAATTGAAACCTCGTACAAGATGCTTTACCAAAAAAGCCATTGACAATTATGGGCATGCCAGTTAAAGTGACAATCTGGATGGCTGATACACTCACAGTTCCACTGATTTCACTCAAAAAGAAATTCTAAATCAACCAAGGATTGCTACTTTAAGCAAATTTGAAACATTTGAGTACACGGGATGGAGGAGGGAGAGCAGGATGATTACAAAGAGAGATTGGGGGGAGGGACTGTGATGATGTGAAATCAGATGGGGTAAAATACAGAGAGGAGTAAAATGAGGTCAGGGGAGACGGAGTGAATGGCTATGTGTGTGTATGTGTGTGTGTGTGTGTGTGCTGTGAACATACAGGGATCCACACAAAAGCTCAAATGTATGACGTGATACAGTACTTATGATATGAGAAAAAGCAATGTACTCACAAATATAAAATGACCACTGTGTGTGCATGTCGTGCATGCCAGCTCCTACATCCATGCATATGTGTGCACGTTTCTTTACCGATGTAATTTCAGCATCACATTTGTGTGGATTATAATCACCACTGTAAAGAAGTGATAATAGCTTGAGTGGCGGAGAAAAAGAGAGAGACTGAGAGAATCCACAGATTTCCTTGTCGTTTACTAATGCAAAAGTGGCCTCCACTTAAAAGGCCATGAATGCATTAACAATCCTCTTTGCATTAACGGGGGCGAACAGAACCACAACAGCAATCTGTTTGCTGGTGATGAGCACTGCAGCTGCTGCTTGGTTTTTTATAAACGTAGAAAAGGGGGGATGCAGTTCGGCTCTCTCTGTGGGTGAGAGCACAATAAAACTGCCATCGGTTTAAACCTCATGCAAGGTGGAATGTGTAAGGTTTTTGTGCAGACAAATGTCAGAAAAAGTCAGTATGTGGATTTCAGAGAAATTAAGCTCTTGTAAGGCATTAAATGGATTGGCTCCAAGCTCCGAGACCCACTAAGCCGAGACATGCAAAGGGTGCACACTTAGGTCAGGAGAATCAGCTCATACGTCTGGATTTGCGACCAGAGGTCACCGTGCATTCGCTCACAAGCCACAATGTATTTTCTTTTAAACTACAGCTATATATATGTTTTTAAGTTGACTTGCATTATTTTATTATTGGACATTTTCATTTATTATCTCTTACTTTATTTATCACTGCCTGTCTCTGCTTAATAGGTGTGTTACAGTATAGAGTATATATATAATCTAATATACACGGAGGATGTTTTCTCTTCTCCAGCAACGCTCTGCTTTAAATCTGCACAGCTATAGTTATAGAATTACAGTATATAGATTATTGTTGCTGCTCAGTAAAGCCAACAACCACAGTCTCTTAATGCCGGCCACTGGAGCAGGGTGGAGAGCCTTAACGTTCATTTCCTTGGCAGTCCGGCGATTAACCCGCAGCTTCTCACTCACAGCTGCACTTCTCCGACTCTCTGTTATATTTTACAATGTCATATTATTGCATATTGCTACACTTTATAGACAAAAAGTATGTGGAGACAACCGCGCACATACAATTGTCTTATTTTGGTCTGGGATTGCTGTTTATAGATTGTGACAAACATATATGATGTTTTAGACAAAAGTGTTCTTCCATCTCTGTTTTGAGTCCCTTTCCTGTTGTGAGTCCATGAAGAAACAGATTTTCCAATTTGAATGTGGAAGAACTGGAATGGCCGACACAGACCTCGACCCCATTCAACACCTTTGGGATCAATGTGAGTGCACTCACTGCAAGTGTTAACATATAGCTCGACATCAGCGCCCGATCCCGCTCTGGTGGACATGGCCAGATGAATCCACTTAGGAGCCCCAGCAGAATAATGAGCCGTGGGCCCCTACTGACAGTCTGCACCACCACCAACCACTATGTCTCTGTGTGTACACTTTCACCAAGGGTTTGCACCATGTGAGCACTAAGTATACTGTTTTTTATACTACTGTTTAGTGTGTTTCATCTTTTTTTTCTTGTGAACTCTTCTTCTAAAGGTTTTGACATGTCACAGTAGGAATAGCCCAGGCCTAAATAATGCACTTAATGATGGCTGAATTCCATTTAGTAGCTTTGATTTCAGGATCTAGGTATTTTAAATGATGTCTCCTTGTCACTCTCGCTGGGACACTTGGAATATAACAGAGGCCTTGATAGTGTTATTGTTATTAATGACACCTGTCTCTTTTCCAGAATAGTATAGAGACTTGTGTTGAAGCAATTGAGAGCTTATGGTTTTGGAATTAAATGGTTAATAATTACATATGGGTGTGACGTTTGGCTGCCCTCATACTTTTGGCCATGTAGTGCATTTCACAGTTGAAGCGGTTAAAATTGATTGTGAGAGTCAAGGGATTCAGTCAAAATTCCTTCACCTTTGATGATGTCAAGTCCCACAACAAAAAAAGCCATTATGAAACCTTTATAAACTGAGTCCGGGGCTGGGACAGGAGCCTTTTGAGGGAACTGGGGCCATGATTTCATATTTCGTCACTACAATAACCCCCCCAATAAAAGAAGCACACAATTGATTTTGATTTCTTTTTTAATGTATTGCGTGGAAAATACACATATAAGCACCACATGTCTCCGCCGCCTGGGGGCGCTGTGCTTTCTACACCGACACGTTCACCTTAGCGGGACGGCAACAACCTCTTCCGGGTTCACACCATTCACTCGCTCTACTCGATTGAAGATGAATCTAATGAAGGCATAATTTTTGTCCATAACCGCGTTTCCCCGCAGAAGGGATTAACTGTAGGTGAATTTCTGCATTGAAAAGCTTTTGTTGAATATTGTTTTTTTTTTGTGACGCCGCTGTTGGTTTAGCTCATAGTACTCCGTGTTAGCTCAACATGTCTGCGGAGGAAGCGGACAAAACGATCACCACTGATGCTAGCGCAGGAGATGAGGAGGAGGAATGGCTGTACGGAGGTAAAGAAAAGACCACGCTGTCCGCAAACACAACTCGTCTCGACCGAAAGAGAGAGACAGACAGACAGACAGACAGAGAGTGTGAGTGAGTGAGTGAGTGAGTGTCTGTCTCGCTCTTTTAATTAACTGCTAACCAATAACACTGTCGGCTAGTTTGAGAAGGCAACAGTTAGCCTGTAAGCTAAGCTAGCAGCGCCTGTTTGCTTCTCCCGGCCTTTTGCAGCCGTATGATTTGAGAAAAAGGTGATTAAATATGTCTTTCTGTCACATGTTCAGGTTGTGTATTGAAAGTTGAAATGTGCTGAATACTAATGTCGGTCTCGTTTGCTTTGTGTCTATGTGTTGAACAGGAGAAGCTAATGAATGGAGCTCTTGAGCTAGTTATGGTTACAATAAGTATTGTTTTTTTGTTCCAGATGAGTCTGAGAGCAAAGATGAGGACGAAGAAGCCAAACTGAATGCTGCAGTCAGGTATGTGTCATCTGTGTTCACCCACAAACACCGTGGCTTTGTGCAAGTGATTCAAAAACACAAGACCCCTGTTTACATCCAGAGGGTATACACACATCCAGAGGGTATACACACATCCAGAGGGTATACACACATCCAGAGGTTTGCCTTCACAGGTTTCACAAGAAATAAGAACTGATGGACTGACTGTTGACTCCTCATCGTGTATAAATTACTGTTGTATACAAATCTACAACTACTTAATTTAGAAAAATAAATATTCATAACAGCACGGGAAAAATAACTAAAAACAATTTCCTGGATTAAGTCATTGTTTTGTATTTAACAGTACCTTTTTAAATCCTCTGCTTCGTTTGCATAGCAATTGTAAAGTGGGAGAACATGACGACTCTGCTTGAAAAGAAAGTGACATTTAATTTTATCTACAGTGCACCTGCTGATGCTTCAATAGAGGATGCTGCAGCGCATGCTACAGGGAATGGAGTGGCCTCTGAGGTAGGTAGCCGTGGTGTGCATGCTCACAGTCACAGTATGTGGTGCAATGTGTGCCGCGCTTCTGTTCTGTTTTGTTTGTGTGCTTACTTACCTCCCAGGGCAGGTTTAGTGAAAATAGTTAGTTAACCCTGAGATGAGGTAAACTCTGGGTTTTCAGTTCAAATATATCACAGTCAAGTCACCCTCAACTCAAAATAAAACCCAACTCAGAATTCACGGTTAGGCTCAGAGTTTGTGGAGCAGCATCCAGTTCTCATTGCTCTCACAGTTGTTTTCTGTCCCTCTGAGAAATGCTCATGTCTCTCCCCCTCCCCCCCTGCTCTGTCAGGCCACAGGTGAAGTTGAGGGTGATGGTGAGGGCGAAGGTGCAGGCGAGGATGTTGACAGCGACAGTGATGATGACGACGACGATGTCCGCGTTACCATTGGAGACATAAAAACTGGAGCGCCACAGTACACGTAGGTGTTCAGTCAAAGTGTGGTGTTTCACGGTTGATTTACACAAGCTCAATATTTTAATGTTCGCCGTGAACAAAGAGAACTTTCTTGTTCCTAACGAATCCTTTTTTTTTGTTTCTTCCTACTCATAAAGCTCCGCTCTTAGTCTCTTTTTTTACATTTCAAATATCGTTCTGATGTCAAAATGAAGAGCAGTGTTTCACATTTCTGTGTTTTTGATAGAATTTTATGGATGAAAATAAAAATGTGCAATCGAAGGAATTCCCACAAATTAATGAAGCTTTAGATATACTGCAGGTTTGATTAAGACATTTCTTTCTCCACACTTTAATTTCTACACTGTAAACCCGTTAACATTGGTCCGTGACCAGCAGAAAGCCAACACTGTCGTTCCTCTGATTGTGCTTTATAAGCCTATATATATATATATATATATATATATATATACACACATACACACACACACACAGTGTATATGAGGAGACCTTGTGACAGAGTTTTATTTATTTTTGTCCTCCCAGAACTTATGGCGCTCCACCTGTCAATCTCAACATAAAGACAACAGGCTCCAGACCGTATGGACAAGGTATTGCTCTCTATTCTTGAACCGCTTTCTGTTTTGACCTAAAAAAACAAGCAAACCCCAGCTTATTCTTTTCTGCACTATTCAGTTCAAAACACAGAGAACATGGATATTCTCCACGGAGAGTAGTAAAGAGTTTGAACTAAATGTTCATGTCCAGTTAACATGTTGTGATGATCATTATTTTCCGTAGCCTCCAAGATGAAGGGAGTGGATCTGGATGCTCCTGGTAACATTAACGGGGTTCCAGTGCTGGAGACGGAAGTGGAGTCCTTTGAAGAGAAACCCTGGAGAAAGCCAGGTGTGTGTGTGTGTGTGTGTGTGTGTGTGTGTGTGTGTGTGTGTGTAGCTGAAAAACCCAGTAAAAATATGCAATTCTTTAGGCACCTCAGTTATGAGCTTTGGTGATGTACAGGCGCCCAGAGACCCGGGGCCAGATGACATGTTATGCCTAGCATGTACAGTATTTCACAAGTTTTGTGTGTGTGTGTGTGTAGGAGCGGATCTTTCAGACTACTTTAACTACGGCTTCAATGAAGACACATGGAAGGCTTATTGTGAAAAACAGAAGAGACTGCGCATGGGCCTGGAGGTCTCTACTATCGGCTCGGTGGCGAGCAAGATCACTGTGAGAGCCCAGTGCTTACTCTTCTTTCTGTCAACGCCCTCTACATTTCCCTCAAACCTCTGTTTTCTTCAGAAGCCTCTCCCTCTAATCACTTAGTTGTAATCAAAGCACTTTCCTGTGTGGTTTAATCTGGAAACTTTACATTATAATAAATGCTTCACCCTGTTTGTTGGAGGTCAGAGGAACATTAACAAAAGTAAACAGAGTTTCATTTCAAACATGTTCATCACCTCTATTTCTACAATGTTGTGAAGAGACGATTTAAACCTCTCTACTTTGATTAACACATATATTCTCTGTCTTAGGTTCAGCAAGGCAGGACAGGGAATGACAAGGACATGATGTCCAGTTTGCCTGTTCACACGTCAAAGCCAGACTTCACATCTCCGATCAGCCTGTACAAGCCCACTGTCAGTCAGCTCACCAGGTAACACTTGTGCTTATTAACATATCTGCTAATGTTCCACTGAAAGGGTTTCCATCCACCTGTTTTATCAACATCTTCTAGTTCAGTATTAAAAAAACCCGAGTGAAAAGTCAAAAAATGTAAAAAAAAAATGTTTTACACTTGGCTGAGGTATATTGATTGATCTTGTAACGTGGTGCATCTTCACATGGGGGTCCGTGGGGATTGACTGGCTTTTGGAGCCGGCCTCAAGTGGGCGTTTGATGAACTGCAGTTTTGGCATCTCAGGAGTTACCATCGGCATTCTAACCGAGAAATAAAATACTCGGACAGGGAAGATCATTTTGATCCTCGACTGAGAAAAGTGAGATTTCATAATCCGGATCATTCTGATCCAGATTACAAGTCTGTAAATACCGGCCCCTGGTCACCACCAGGTTTATCAGTGTCCCATGGGCTGTATGTGTGTGTGATCTAATCCTCTTTACCCCCGTCCTTTGTTTCAAAATGGTAGGATCTCTCCCCCTCAGTGGCCCGGTCCGCCTCCTCAGGACATGTCCTATTATACGTAAGTTAGCACGGCCTTGTCCCTGCAAGGTTTGACGGACCTGATGGGAAATGTGTTGATGTTCAAACACGGGGGTAACCTGAAACTTTCTTTCTTCAGGGGTGGGTGATGTGCATGTGTGATAAGCTAAAAGTTAGCTTTAGAGAAAGTCACCCGAATATCATCATCTTTAGCTTAATCTGGAGCTCACTTTTCTTTCTTAGAGTATTTTCTATGTTTAGATAAAACCCCTTTTTAAAGGTTCTTTAAAGCAATCCATTCCTCCTTAAAATGAAACTTCAGTATTTCTTTTAACTTGTTTTCTCAAGTCATTATTTTATGGAGTAATTAAATGTCTTCTTCGGGGTCACGAATGTATATATTAAATAGATCTGAGATGCTGAAGTGAAATCCATGACCAAACCTAAAAAGTAAAATAAATCTAGTGTTGGGCTTTAGTTGTCAAAACTGTGCAGTCAGCGGAAATGATTTAGGGCCGCATTGTTTGAGGCTTTGGTGTGAATTTGGTATTTAGATTATGTGCATTGCTGATTGCATATTGTAGACTAGGTGTATGCCCAGTGTCTTGATTTTCATTTTTCATATCTGTTTCCCAGGAAGACGAGTGGTACTATAGATGTGATCGGTGGAGGGACGGCCACCATCAGCAGGGTTGAAGGGCGACGCAGACACAATCTAGAAGGCAACAATATCCAGGTACACAGAAGCAACACGGACACTTTTTCTTTCTTTTTTTTGTTCTACTAAACTGGAGTTGAAGTTGAAAGAAGCTGCTAGTGTGCGCGTGTCATCCTGTCTGTTGTTGTGCAGGTGATCGCCGAGCAGTCGGATGCCGAACCGGCTCCAGCCAAGATTCCCCCCTTCTTCCCTCCTGGACCCATACCCCCAAACATCCCCCCACCTCCGTTCCTCCCTCCGCCACCCAACGTCAACGCTGCACCCCCGCTCATCCCCCCACCCAGTAAGTTTATCATCATCGCCATCTTATTCTTTCTCAGCTGGTCTCTTTGTGGGATTTTAAGCAGCCATCCCATCGTACCCTGTATTTGCTCTGTTTTATTGTTTTCGATGTGTTCATCCTCATTCTCTCTCTCGTAGGGTTGCCCATCACTGTTCCTCCTCCTGGTTTCCCCCCTCCACCTAGTGGCCCCCCTCCTGCTATCATCCCCACTATGGACAGGTAACTGTTGGTAGTTGTTGTTGGGTTTGTTTAAATACGCCAAATTGTCATTTTATGGGTTATTTTTGTTCAATTAAGCTAAGAAAGCTAATACGTGCTAACATCAGCTGTCACTTGCAGTCACATGATAGGGTCAGTGAGGTTAGGCATGGCAGAGGCTGAGCATTCGGGATCGGTAACGTTACTGGAATGGAGTTGGTCGCTCACCATCAAACTCAGCCATTTACCCGGTGATACCAATGTAATTATACTATTGGCTCGTGGGTTTTGTTAGAAGTGGGAAACAAAGCATTATATATCTTCCACTGAGATAAAGAAAACATTCATTTTTGGACCCGTCAACAGTTTTAAAATGATTAATTCACAATCATATTTTTTTAGGAAAATAAGTACTTTTATTTGGCACCTTACTCAACACATGTATTTCTTTTTAAAGTGTTCAGCTACATAAAAATGTTCTTCAATCAATCTGACCTTTAAAGCAGGAATGTCATCGTTCTGTTACATGGCGAGCAGACAGTCGCAGTGACTTGCAGCCAGACAGCAGCCGGCTACACAACAACCACATTAGCTCTCCTGCTAAACTCTCCATATAATCTAACGTGAACACTTGTCCAGCGCCTTAGCTTGTTGAATAGTTCACCATACAAACATTAATCTGGGAAACGTGCACCGTTAACATCTGTTTTCAGGCTACATTGCCAATCGATGAATTCCTTTCTTCTAGATCTGTATGTTCCATAACGTGTAACATTCTCCTCTTCCCACAGTGGCCACCCTGGAGGTTATGATGGCCGCCCTGTCCCTCCCTACCCATTCCCTCAAGGTAGGATGCTTTACATCACAACCAGGATTTCTAACCTCAGCAGCACAACACATGTCAGAAAGTTTTTATCAATGTTTATCACAGATTGCTGACTGGATTTGAACAAAGTCTCATTTCCAGGAAACATTTGAGCACAAAGTAATAACTGTCTTTGGGGACCCTCCTCTGAACTTTGTCAGGCGCATACCCTCCGCCCATGCCTGGAGGTGGGCCTCTCACCTGGCCCCCCATGTTGGACAACTCTAAACCCTGGGAATACTACCCCCGTCGAGAGGACAAGAGAGAGAAGGAGAGAGAGAGGCCCAGAGAGAGGACACATGAGCGGGAGAGAGAGAGGGAGCACAGCCCTTCAGCTATGAGCTACACCAGGTGAGAGGGACACACTCATGAATATTAATTTATTGTGTCATTTAAAAAGGCTCGTTTCCATCAGAGTACAGGCTTGTTTTGGTAAGCGTGCAAACATAACGCAGTAAAGAGAAAGCTCTTGTTCTTTCGACTTCCGCAGTGACGAGGAGCGGTTTCGCTACCGCGAGTACCAGGAGCGTGGTTATGGGGAGCGGCATCGTGAGCGGTCGAGCCGAGAGAAGGAGGAAAGACACAGAGAGAGACGGCACCGAGAGAAGGAGGAGGGACGCCACAAGACCTCTCGCAGGTACGAAAACATACACAAAACCTCTCCGACAGAAGACAGTTCGCTGAACCCCTCCCTCCAATGATTATTAATGCGTTAGAAGAAGCCACGCTCACAACCGGAACATCCACCGGGCAGTAGAAGTTGATCCTGGATGCTATTGGAGTGTAGGCTCATGTCAGCAGGTCTGTGCAGCTCTTTATTGGATTTGGGAAAGTTTAAATTCCAGAAACCTCGTAGCATTACATTAGCAGAACACACCAGTTAGCCTTTTCTCTTGTAATTGCTTGTGGTCTAAGTGGCTGAACAGGGTTATATTGATATTCTATTCTCATACTATCTCTCCACCGCAATATGAGAACGTCTTTTAGCATGACATCACATACGTAGCCATAAAGTGTAATATCTACAGCCTTTAAAAATATATATATATATATATTCTTGTTTTGAAACAAATCGGCTGGAAACATTAACATGTCCGCTAACTCATAGAGCTACGGTTAGCTTGGCTATATATATCTTGTATATATATATATCTGCCAGCTACAGGTACAACAGCAGGCTCCTCATTTTCTACTGGCTGGAATGAGAAGCTGCTTTAGTCTAACTCTCAAATTAAAAAGAGTGAGAAGGGAAAGATTAACTTTGGTGTATTTCAGCTTTGACCCTGTTTTACCACTAAGGGGGACATCAATTTCTGAAATCGGTCCAGTATTGAGGGAAAATGCTGCAGATGACTTCCACTAAACAGGCTGTAATGTAATGTCATGTTTTGCCACTGACAGGCTCAAGATATCATCACAAAAACTGAAAAAAAAAAAAAAGAAGCTTTACCTTCTGCTTGTGTCATGTGACAACATGAGAGAGAGTTGCAGAGAGGAGTTTCGGTGTTGTGTAGCTCAGTGTTGTCGTCGCTGAATATTCAGCTGATTTCATGCGGATGCGACGCAATATTTATAAGTTACGCTTTCACGACAGCAGCTAAGTGGTATAATGGTCCTTTGACAAACTATCTTCCTGTTTTTCGGTTGGCCCAACCTTTGTCTCTGTTATTTTCCTAACCCCTCTTGTCCATCTCCATTTCACTTCACCTTTTCGTTCTTTCACCCATTGATCTTCTTGTCTCCATGTCTCCCTCTCTCCCATCTAACCTTTTATCTCCCTTCCCCCTATCGTCTTCCCTCCCTGCCCTGTCCTCTCCCTTCTAAATCTCCCCCCTCCTCACCTCCTCTGCCCTTTCCACACTTTTGTCCTTCTCTTTGAATTAGCAGCAGTAGCAGGCGGAGGCACGAGAGCGAGGAGGGCGACAGCCACCGGAGGCACAAACACAAGAAGAGCAAGAGGAGCAAGGAGGGCAAAGAGGCCGGCGAGGAGATCAGCGCAGACCAAGAGAACCAGGAGGCCATGGAGTAGCGATCGCCAGCCCCCGCGTTGTCCTCTCCCCGTCTGTCTCTGGGTCTCCGTCTGTCCCGCCGTGTCTCCCACCAAGATGAGAAAGAAGGAATGGGGGAAGATGAGCACAGACCAACAAAACCAGAAAGTGGCAGAGCGATCGATGCGTCCTGTCACGCCCCTCTCCATCAATCACTGTTGTCCTCCATCCTGCTGCCGTTCATCACCCCGAGCGGAGAACGGATGGAGCAGAGGAGGTGGTAAACAAGGGTGGTCGTCCTGTTTAGTCCATCCGTCTTTCCATCAATAGCTGACACCAGACAAGCCGTCAATCTGTCCCCCCCCCCTCTCGTTTCTCCCCGGCCCTCCTCTCAGAGCACTGCTGTAACCGTTAGGTCATGCTCAGAGATTTCACTGTATAGTCCCAATGATCAGCAGATTCAGCTCTTTTTCATTTATTTGTTCTTGTTCTGTATGAAGACATCTATCGAGTCAGTTTGTTGAGTTCAATTAAAAAAACACTTTTGATAACACTTCTTTTTGTGACTTTTTTTTTTTTTTTTTTTTTGAATAAATAGTCCAATGACTACTTGCTATGTAAAGCCATAGTGGAGTAACGTCTGGAAAAGATCTCTAACATAACCCCACCAAGAAATGCATTATCAGCATTTCTCTTTGAATTTGACTTCAAAGGAACGTGTTTTTGATGAATAACCATGCTGCTGCGAAAGGTATTTTCTACACGGCTTCATATGACAGGTGAAGGTCTTTCCTGTACATGTGCACATCAGGTAGCTGTTGTGTGTACTTTACATGTGTGTCATTTCAACACATTCTTAAAGGGTCACTATTCTCTGTGGGATCAACCGTCAGAGCACTGCGGAGGTTATCAGGAGGTGAGGACAAAGTTCAAGTGAACTTCAAATCAACATTTGATTTGAAAATATTGCAATCCAGATGGTTTTGCTGGGGAGGGGGATTTGGACTTGTGACCCCAGTATTTCTACCATCCTGGCTCAAATATTTGATCTCGGGTCTGGAAGAGTTTTTTTTTCTCCTTTCCATCAAATGACATTCAGACTCAGTAGCTGTTGTGATTTCATCCACAACACTTTTAGTATGAAAAGTTCATTATTTACCTTGTAAACAGATTAATTACTGTATTACTGTTCTATTTTTCATATTAAATATTCAATTGCCAGTACTATTACAAATTGACAGTTCTTTTTTTTTTTTTTTTTTTTTTTTTTTTTTTTTTCTGAATTTCAAATGTAACAGTTGCATAAGTTCTCATTGTGCAATGTGAGTACTTTTGTTGTTTGCACAGCAAAACAAATGTACAAAAGATGTCGGCTATGTTTGCTACAACATTCACTGACCGTGCATACTGTACAAAGACACGCTTACACCTAAATATACACACATGCGTGAATTAAAAGTAAACCGAAGTCTGTGCAGGCGAGGTAGGAAACAAAGGAATCACAAGACTGGAGGGCCTTTATTTCTAACGGAGTATTTTAGTGGTTTTGCTACTGTTACGACAGTAAATGATGTGAAAATGTTCTCCATCACTGGTAATATGTGCACACGTGCTGTGCATAATAGCCTCTACTGTTACATGTGATTGGATCAAGATTCAGTGAGTTCCCTAAACAGGTCAAAGTCTCTCTCTCTCCCCCCCCCCCCCTCACATCACTTCACAGAAAAGTCAATGTACGCTGGTGAGATGCAGCCACCGTTGTTATAAGGCCTGTGGCAGCCAGAGAAGAGACTCACCCGAGCACGAAGGCACGGAAAGGGGAGAAAGACATCAAGAGGATGAAGAAGTGCGTTGCTGCTTTTGTGGTGCTGAGTCTGCTCTCAGTGGGACTCTCTGCTCCTCTGAGCGGCTGTGACGGTCTGGTGAAACCCATAACTGTCAGCAATGAATACGTGAGTGCACTTCTACTTTACCTTGTATCTTCAGTATCTCGGTTTAATTCCAACTCGGCAATAAAAACATCTCTGGTTTTCATCAGGTGTATTTCGATGCTGATGAATCCTGTTACTATGAACGAAACATCTGTATGCACTATTTCAGTGTGTCTAACCGTTTAACCACAGGCGTTAAAAGCTTACAGCTGTTGAAAGCTCATAATAAGACTTTGCCTTTCCAAAGTGTATGTGTCAGTGAACGGCAGTAACCTGCCATGTTTCGACTCCTCTGTCCTTGCTGTACTTGCGCCATGCTGTCTCTTTATTGGACCATGAACTTGTTTTTAGATCCCACAGGTTTCTGGGCCCCAGAAATGAAAAGTTGGCAAAACGTTTCAGATAACACTTTGTTTTACAGGTCCTTTATTTCTCAATACTTTCCTAGGGTGCTACCTGGAAATGACTATGTAGTATGGTGCAAATTATAAAGACAAAAATGAACGTCTTTAAAATAAAATTGGCATTAAAAAGTAGGTAAATATTCCTTTATCTTTTTTTAAATTGTTATTATTGGGAACTGTATTTCCCTATATAATTACAACACAAATTATATAGTTCTTTTGAGAAAATGTCTTGTAGTTTATCAGGAAATTATTCAGACCAAACTTGAAATTACAGACATTTTAATATTGCATCATTTGAGGATCAGAGCATGGAGGGAACTCCAATTGATGTATTAATTAAAACATATCGGATTTAGTGTAACAAATAACTCTACGTCTCAGAAATCTCCCACGAGCCCACAGGAGGTCCCGGCCCCCGCGGGTTTAGAAACATTGACGTGTGTGTATACTCTGTGTCTGCGTGTGCTTCAGATGCTGGGCAGGTGGATGTACATTGGGGGGAGCTCTGACCTCCCAGGAAGCCGCTCCCTGGGCCACCTGATGACCAGCGCCTGGCTGGACGTCACTACGACCGCCCAGAGCAACGTCCTCAATCTACTCCAGACTCAGAGGATGTAAGTCCCCACCCACACTGTCGCAGCAGAAGGCTAGAGGAACTTATCTTTTTATAACTTGACAATGCAGCTTGTTTATGAGATATAATTGCACTACATATCTATATATTCAAGTCTCTTGTCACAGACATCAGCAGCACCCTCAAATGGGAAACATCAATACAGACCACATTACCAAATAAAAAGAACCTGCTTCATTCTGCTGTTGGGTTCATCAACGAAGCCCGGGACCCCCACTGACTCAGACACTACATCCCCAGGACAATGTCTTACAGTGACACACCCTTGCAAATCTTTTCTCTATTAATATACACCTGAAACTTTAATATTATACTTGTTTTAACATACTCTTGTTTGTTTGTTGACCATATATTATTGTAAATCTTTTAAATGATGTCTTAAACTATTGCAGTGTCCCTTACAAATTCCTTGTATGATTCTGGCTTACTAAAGAGTCTATCATGGTATAATGTTTTACTTTTTCCTTCACAGATATGGCGAATGTTCCAGCTTAACATACAACGTGAACTTTGAAAACAGCACGATCTTGATCGGTGAGCGCAGAAGAGCCACAATGTATCAGAGAGATGCGTTAAGAGTGGAAACCTGGATTGAAAACACTCACACTATTCCCTGTGTGTGTGTGTGTGTGTGTGTGTGTGTGCGCGTGCGTGTGTGTGTGTGTGTGCGCGTGCGCGTGTGTGTGTGTGTGTGTGTGTGTTTTTCACAGAGCAACCGTTCTACCTCAAGGAAGTGTACCTGCCGACTGACTGCTCCCACTGTCTGGTTGCCTATGAAGAAGTTGTCTCTGGCAAAGATACTTTCACCAGCTTTCTGCTTTTTAGTAAGAAACTTGCTTATCGGTCACCAAACCCTGCATTGACCTGAATATTATTCTTCCAATTCAACTCTGACGTCTTTATTTCCAGGCAGGAATCAGAGCGTCTCACCTGCTGTTGTGGAGACGTTCAGGATGCAAGCAGAATGTCTCCACATGCCGTCGCCCATAATGATAAACACGGACTACGGTGAGAATGACTACAACTGTTTATCTCCACACACACTGTGCCTCCACCATGCCGTGCAGAGCTGATTTGTCTCATTTTGAATGTGTATGAAAACAGAAATCTGCCCAGACAACATCTCGCCCTCAGAGGGGATCAGCGCCCTCAACTCTTTGTTAGAGGCCAAGATGGGACATCGAGTGGCAAAACTCCTGGATGCTTTTTTTGATATGTTTGTGAACTGATTAGTTTTGTCATTTTGCTACGAGAAAGTGTGGAATTTTGTTCCCTGATTTACATAAACAATAAATAAATAAAAAAGTGCAACTGCATTGTTTTCTCGTTATATTTCAAAAAAACAAGACTTTTTATTCCTAGTTTATTTCACAAATGCCCCTCAAGAAGAGGAAGGTGCAGGTCCTAGATATCCTCAGTTGCTCTATGTATGAGTATATCATCTACGTAGACCTCTGTACCTTCAAGTCCCGTCAAGGTTTCAGACATTTTGCTCTCCTTATCCCAAATGGGAGTCGGCGGGAGGCGTACCTCTCACATGGGGTAATAGAAGTAGCGAGCCTACTGCTGTCCAGGATCTGGTAGAACCAGCTTGCTGCATCCAATGATGTGAATACCTTTGACGTGGCAAGCCTTGGCATTATTTCCTCCACAGAGGGCAGCCGGTACTTTTCCTGTTTCACCACTCGGTTCAGCCTCCTGAGGTTTGAGCTGAAACCAACCTCCCTCTTGTCGGGTTTGAGCAAGCTTTTATGTGATTTCTCGCACAGCTTTTAAAGTGGTATGCACAACTACCTTCCATCTCTTACCAATAATTAAAATCCAGTGCTCCTAGATTCCCCGTGACCTCGAATGACCGATAGTCCTCATACAGACTTTATGTCAACAAGCAGGAAAACAAACACACAAAGAGGAAGATGCTCATAGCCTTATTTATTGGTAGTTTATTACTGTACATCTGCACACCTGCACATGAGTCATATGTACATGTATATCTCTCTCCCTCGCACACACAAACACACTGACCACTCAAGATTATATAAAAAAAGGACTCGTTTTCTGTGCAGGGTTCAATCACAGTCTGAGATCTACGAAGAACATTTGCATCTGCACACACCGTGCACATACACACACACACACACACCACAAATATCTTCATGTGGCCTTACTTCTTGATTTACATGGAATAGACCATGATTTAAAATATGGAAAAGCGACTGATGAACCAATAGGCAGCCCAGTGGTAATCAAGTGAATTTGGGTCTTTAACCATGTAAACCAACACAAAGACGACATAATGGTTGGTTGTCTGTTGTTTTATGGGGCATTTTTCATTATCATTTTACAATTATTCAAGTAATGTGTGATCCGCGCTGTATTCTTGCCCCCTTGTGTTGTGACTTTGGAACATACCCGACAGTGAGATTTCCCAATACTACGTGTGGTTGTTAGAAGTATAATCCCCTGAGTGTGACCCATACAATCACTGGAGCTGTGTGACCTAAAACAAAGTGGCTTTGTTCAATCTCAGTCTCTGGATGTTTTAAAAAAAAAATATATATATAAATCATGGAGGTGTGCCGAGTGAGAAAAGCTAAATATATGCCATCACCTCTTTTTGCTGGCAGATGATTGTGTTTCACTAAACAGAGATGTGCTTTATGATGCGTTCTAGAACATGTTGACAGTTTTAAGAAATAGTCTTTAGGCCTTTATGGAGCAGGATTGTTAGATAGCTAGGTAACCGAACTCATGAACAACTCGTTAGAAAAGCTTCTGGCCACCTGATGAGTCCAAGACTCTTTCCTTTTAGCTCAGTTTTTGGTCTCCACCAGCTCCTGAGGGAAATGTCTGCCTCTTTGGCTGCTAAACGCTCCACTAGGTTCACCAGCTCGTCGCTAACTGTGTCTTACTGCCGTTTGGTGCCGAGCCTTTTCTGTGAGGACATCATTTTTTCATTATTAATACAGAAACACTGATTAGTGCTGCAGTCCACACTCCTGATTTTGGAGTGGTCTTGTTTTAGTGCAGTTATGAAGGTAACCCCAGTAATCCTGCTTCATGATACAGAACCCTGGTATTACCTAACAGCTAATAAAGAGGACCCAACACTGTTGGTCACCCCAGACCTCTGAATGCATCTACGACAGGGGAGCTTTGTCAGAAGAAGCCTTATCCTTAACTTGAAACACTTCCATAAGTAAGCCACGGTCAGCAGATAAGGAAGAGAGGCCATGTGTGGGATTTAAGGAGCGATTGTGTGCTTTAGTGTTGACACATGACCATGAAGACAAAAAGGAAACAACCATGACATACATTTGCAAAAAAAAAAAAAAAAATGCAGGTCCATTTCATGAATGCAGATAATATGCACTCATTTATAAATTACTACAAAAGTAACAAAGGTCGGTTATGGCAAAGAGATGCATCGAATAAAAGAATCCTAAAGAGTATCTCTTCGTGTCTGATTTGTCTTTTTGTTTTGCTTAGGTTTCTCGCTCGCTCAGAAACACACACACACACGCACACACACAGTGAAAGGTGAAAAGCATTGATTGCCTCTTTTTCACCAAAATAGTAAACAAAACATGAGATACTAAAAAGAAAAAGGAACAAAATAAAGGTGTCTCCTCTTAATCACTAGTGCCTTTCTTTCCAGCTTACTTGTTCCACTGCGACTGAGAAGCAGTTGCTAGGCAGCCAGACCATCACCTGGACACACACACACACACACACACACACACACACACACACACACACACACACACACACACACACACACACACACACACACACACCGTTGAAGACAAATTGTTCCAGGTAAATCATGTGGCACAAAGACCCATTCATACTACAGAGAGTACAGTCAAGAGCGTGTGATTGTCACTGGGTTAGGGGGGGGATGCACCCTGAAGTGTGCAGAGATGTGGAAGGAGGCCAGAGGAAGTCGGGTAGTTGATAAGAAAGAGTGACATTATGGAGTTCAGCTGTTCCGGCCACTCGCCCCAACATGCTCCTGTAAGACCAGTCCGTCCGCTACAGAGTCCGTTTGGATGAAAGGTTCCCTTCGGAGTTCTGGTGTTATGCTGCCTCTAGGAAAGGATCTAGAGCGCCGAACCGACCGTTACAAAAGCACTGGGGTGTATTTTTTTGCAGGTGAAGTTGGCCAGTGAGACAGTCGGTAAGATGTGAAAGTGTTTGTGTTATCATGGTCTGACTGTGCCATGTGCTTAGGTTGGGGAACATACAAGTGACACAATTTCCAGTCGTAGCTCAGAGGACTCCATTTAGGAGTCCACTTTCCAGCTTCAGTTCCAAAATCCATAACGCTGCTTGTGGCTGGTCCCCCACCCCCCACACCCAGCCCGACATCCCACTGGCTGGTGCTGGTTAGCAAGGCTTAACAAGTGCCCCAGCTCGCTCCGATAGGTCGCGTTTCAACGGTGAATTCACTCCAAAAACAAGGGTTGGGGGTAAACAAGTGTGGTATGTGTGGGAGAACGGGTCAAAGAGAGAAGGGGGAGGTTCGATGCTACCCTGTAAACGAAAACATTGGGGTATTTATTCAGGAGCTTGACCGCCATCGTGGTTCTGCGACGGAGCTGGGCAGCAGTGGAGGTCGAAGGTCAGCCGCAGTCGGGCTAGTCCGGTCTGAAGATGGGGATCTTAGGTAAGAACTCTATTAGGATTACCTGCAGGAGACGAGAGAGAGAAAGCTGTTACTGAGAGACGACGGACAGATTTTTATAGTGGTAGAGAATTTGCTGCAACCTTCCTACCAAAGTAGCCATCACCGTAGTGTCTCAGGTGGTATTGATCCATTGCTTACGGCGATGTCGAAGCTTCATTCATAATGTTGACATTTGAATTCTAAATCGACATTTCAATGCGCACTGACGAGTTCTATTCATTAAAGAAAGTTGATTTAATAATATTTTTTAAAGAACTATATATATAACTATTTAAATTGAGGATTTTCATCAAGGATTTTTTTTTTTTTTTTGGGATAAACAAAACACTGTGATTAACAGGTTATTCCCCATCCTGATGTCAAGTGTTCAAATCAACATTAGCACTGTGTGGACAAAAACACAGGCTCCTCATTCATTCTTAATGAGACCACGACATTAGACATCTTTCCTCGTAGTATTGCAAAAGCCCTGTGCAGCGTGTTGGTGTCTGACAAGCCACCAAACTCATTGATCGACTACTCAAACCAACCTTCTTTGTATTGTACATCATCATCTAACCGCAACTGATACTTACGTATTCCATCATGTTGTTGGTTTCACACTTCCTTTTGCTTAGTCTCCAATGCAAACACAACTGCAAAACAGAGGTCAGATAGTTATTTAATACCGTGTCCTAACAGAGTAGAGTATTATTACACACATATCCATTCATGCTCACCTTGTGGTAAAGTCTGCAGTTCTCCCACTCCAGAAGTTTCTCTAAAGATCGTCTTGTCTGGAAGGCAACAGTGATATTAGATGACAACACAATAACCTTTTGCTGACTCCCTGCTTGATCTGGATGTACTGAGATGTGGTTGCCAGTGCAACATGGACGGGTATCTCACCCTCTTGCTGAGGCAGATGACAGGCCACAAACTGAAGCCCAACGTGCAACAGCAGCAGAGGCAGCCACACAGGAGCCACCGCACGTTCACCGGCAGAGTCTTCCTCAGGCAGCTGTTCACACGGTTGATGCTGGCTTTGAATTCCTCTGGTGCCACCTGAGGAAGTGAACACACGTGGTATAGTTTGTATATTAACATGTAATGGTCTTGTAATTGTACACTAATCTAATCTGAGGTATGTGTTGGTGATCAGATAAACAAATGCGCCATTGTTTGTGCCAACAGAGAAAATACAACAAAATATAAGGTCAATCTTGTAATGATATTTTGCCATAGTTAATATGCATTAATGAACAACAAGACACTCACCTTTCCTGTTAGTGCTGAAGGAAATTCTGACTCAAATTTGTTACTAAGCCCAAACCTGTGGGGGGGGGGGGGGGAAGACATGAGACTGTTATACATACACAGACATGTACTGTGTGAAGAACAAACAGGCTTTACATTTCAGGCCGCTAAGTCCAGCAGGTATCTGGGGTAAACTATTGCTGCTCCAATATGCATCAAGATCATTTTCCTGAGATGTACCCATAACACATTATTATAATATTGAAACAGAAAAAAACATCAGATATTCCTTATTACATATTATAAGGATGTCAAAGATGATACATAGTGAGATGCCCCAAACCCCCAGTACATACATACATACATACATACATACATACATACATACATCCATGTACTCTAGACTTGAAATCAAACTAGAAGTGATTGTCCACGGCTTCTTATTATACATTTCTGTTTATTGCATTACTCAGCCACGAGGAGTTTAGACAATTCAATGAAGTACCAAAACTTTGACAGGAAGTGGTGATGGGAAACAATGGGATAACTCAACGCTATCAATTTGAGTGCACCAGCACATCTGTGTGCTCCTCCATACCCGACTAGACTAGACAACAACTTCAGCTCCTGCTGCCACAACAACTTTGTGTTCATATTTTTGCCGGTCTGTACGTTTATTTCAGAGTAGGCTATTAATTACAGGGCAGAAGTAACGTTACCAGTTGACGGTTAAAATCTGGACCCTTTAAAATCTACTACCTGGGCTCAGTGGAGAACAATGTCCGATTCCATGTTCAAGTCCCGAAAGAGTGGAACAAAAGACGGGATAAACTATCTTAACATTAAAACAGCAAGAACACCAGCAAACCAACTTGAACAATACCGCTGAACAAATCACACTACGTGGTAGAAACAGTACAGACAATGTACATAATTACATATCAGGTCGTGTAGCTACTTCAGCGAAAATGAAAGCTCAATTTAATCAGCCACTCCTCGCCAGAGTTAGCTCGCTGCTAACTTAGTGGCTAGCTGACTACGCTAGGTCACCAGCTACCCTAACTAGCGGACAGTGTATCCACAAAGACCTGCTGGTGATTTAACGGTAAGCTCCTCTCTCGGTGCCCGTAAGTGCTGTCAGTCACTTACACAGTGACGTGGCCAGACCCTCGCACCACCACCGGGTCCGGAGCGTACTTGAGGAGCTGCTCCTCCGCGGCCCTGTCCTCGTCCTCCTCTTCCTCCTCCTCCTCCTCTTCGTAGATCTCGTCAAAGTCCTCCATCATCGCACGACTCGGCCTCGCGCTTCCCGGGAGAGACACCGGGACAGACACGATGCCGACGAACAGCGAAACTTTACCGAGAAAATTGTACAAGTATAACCGCAAAGACAACCACGAAACAATATCAACCCGTCCCGGAGACGATACAGTTCACATCGTTCAGCCAGCTCCGGAGCAAAACATCAACATCCGCCGCAGTAGCCGTACGACACCGGAAATGGGACAGACGTGCTTAAGTTTATTCTAAATTATTATTTTTTTAAAACAAAAATACAATTTACTAAAGGAAGCTTTTGTAGCATGCAGAATATCGTGTTTGTGTTTCACTTAAATGGGAAAATGTGTTGTTTGGTTTCTTTGGTCCTGCACTCTAGATTGTACTTAATTAAAGCACTAAGTATATCATCAAAGTATTTATTATTATCAACAAAGTTTACCTTTTAAGTATCAAAAGTATGGCTCTTTTAGTGTGGTATTATAGTATATATATAGTATTGGATTATACTATTGATTGTTCAGTAAAAAGTACAACATTTCACTCTGAATTGTAGTGGGTGGGAAGTATAACGTAGAACAAATTGGAAATACTCAAGTAGAATTAAAATACCTGAAATGATCAGCAAGTACAGTACTTAAGTAAATGTATTTAGTGACGCGGAAATACAAATAATTATAAAAAAAATAAAATAAACAAAACCGGAAGTTGAGCAAATTCTTCTTAAAAAGACAACATGATCTTTGGAATAAGTTACATTCAAACTGTCTTTTAACCCCACATGGTATGCGTATCTGGTTTTTGCAGTCCTGACTTACATACAGCTTAGATTCTTTAATTTGCTCCGCAATTTAGTTGAACTTTTACTCAAAATGCGCCACTATTCGTCACTGCACGTTTTATTTTGAAATGTTTGACCAGAAGTGATATTTTAAGCCTTCCGGCTAGCTTGGTTCGTCAACTAACGAACCTAAGCTAGCTAAGCGCTTACTTTTGAGAGCCGCGACTGAACACATTAAACGTTAATTGCTGACTGTAAACCTTTTAGTAATCCATCATGTCCTAAATCAGCCCCAGAGAACAGGTGACATCGACTCACAGCAAAGCAGTCTGGACCTGACAGTAATGCCACTTCCTGTTTAGGAAGTGTGGGGACAATTGAACCTCAGGTAAACTTTTGCCTTCGCTTATCAGCAGCGGATGTCCTGAGTTATTCTGCAAGATGATACGAACTGAGAACTTTAAAATGACCCTTCAAGTTTTGAAAGACGTGGTTCCTGTCCTCACTGGCGGGATTCTAATTGTGGTACTTTTATCGTGCGTTTTGTTCGGCATCCAAACATATTTCAACTTCACTCAGGGGGTTTTCAGTGTCGGGGCCACTGTGTTTCAGAATGGACACCTCCACAGGCTGCTGACGTACCCCTTTTACCACAAAACCTCCGCCCAGCTTCTCCTGAACATTACCGCCTTGGTGTTTCTCAGCGGCAGTCTGGAGAAAGGTGTTGGAACTGTGCGCTTCCTGTTCTTGTTCTTCCTGCTGTCGACCACCACGGGCTTGTTTTACAGCTTCCTGGATCTTCTGCAAAGTGACAGTGGCAGCCAGAGTCACACCGAGGGGTTGGTTCCTGTGACCCTGGCATGCGTGGCTCTGACTACCATGCACACAAAAATGACCAAAGGGTTCCTGTGTGGAGTCAGTTTCCCCGCCATGGCTCTCCCTTGGGTGCTCCTCATAATCACCACGGCCCTCATTCCTCACAGTGTGCTCCCCTGTAACATCATCGGCATCCTGGTCGGGTGGATGTACGGGAAAGGCTGGCTGTCTCTTCTGAACATGTCGGAGGCCAGGGCTGGTGCGCTGGAGAAGACGATGCCTTTTAGGTTGTTGAGGAGCATCAGAGGAGTGAAGTTTGTCCCCGCTTCCACAGAGGACAGGAGGAAGACCCTCCTTCCACGGATCAATCCAACGCCTGGGTCCTACCCGGTCCAGGCTTACGCTCCGTTGCCCAGCGTTGGCACTGCCAATAGAGCCAATGTTTATGAAGGCTGGCCGAATTCAACCAGTGCCCTGTCCGGTCCCACACCACCTCTCAATGCTCATGGACATGGCTCTGCACATAGCTTTGGGCTAAGTCAAGGACATTCTTCAGATCAGAATTTTGGCCAAGGCTGCAACCACAACCATAGTGATGGTCATGGTCATAGTCATGATCATAGTGATGGTCATGGTCATAGTCATGACCATGGTCATAGTCATGGTCATGGTCATAGTCATGATCATAGTGATGGTCATAGTCATGACCATGGTCATAGTCGTGGTCATAGTCATGACCATGGTCATAGTCATGGTTAATTATAGTCATGGTTATTTATGATTGCTTTAAAACACTCCATACAGATGAGCCCTGTTCTGTCAATACTATATTTTCCACAGTTAAACCCATGTGGGCACCTGCAGCACCTCTTGTCCTTGGACTGCATCTTCTAAAATGTCAAATGCTCTGACTCATTAAGCTGACTTTACAGTAGGCTTCTAGCGTCTGCCTGGATGTATATTTATAGGACATTTATATAGGACGTTCAATTGTTATGGCTGACTTTTGTCTAAACATTTTTTTTTTTTTTTAAATATACCTGTATCTTGTACAAATTTCCCCTCATTCCTAGAAAATAAACTATGGTGTGCAAAACAAAACATCTTTAGAAAAAAATATTTTCTTTTGCCTCTCAACGGCTCTCAACATGGCGACGACTCAGCGAATGATGCAACACACAAAATGAACGTCATCAAACTTTCGTCATCTAGTTTGATAGATTTTGGTGTGTAAAATATTGCTATCTCTGGCTCAACGTTACACTCTCTGCTAGCACCTGCCCGATCGGCACTGCGCCCGTTTAACTCGCTTCCAGAGAGTTGCACATGTGTAGTACTGATTGGGTGGCGGGTGACATGTTTTTGTTGTCCCTGTGTAGCGTAATTGGCCTGATGAATGACATAACCTGATAAACGATCAGTGTATAGACTTGTCTATTGCTCATACCCGATCCAGCATTTTCAGCTGGATCTCAGATATTTCCAATACTGGTACAACTAAATTAAAGCATGTGCAGGGTAGCAGAGTAAATGTTATTGTCCATGTAACACATTGTTGATTGTATGCAAACTGGACTTCAGCTCCCCAAACTGTATCGAACTAGAAAAGATTCATAACAATATACTAGGTATACCTGCATATGGGTACAAAATGAATGACATTCTGAATGGTGAAGTGATGAAACTAAATATTCAATAAAGCCCACCAGGTAGATGAACAGAAATCAAAATAGCTAAAAAAAGTTATAAGAATCACAAATGCACACTAACAAAGTATTTGGATTTATTTAAAGACCCCCCTCCAGACATGAATTAAAACATACAAATACTGACTGTTTCTCTCACAAAAAATAGATCAAAGACCTTGTCAACAGGTCTTGAATTTACATCTCCCACATTGAAAAATCCCCTGTGTATGTAATCAGTTTTGTGTTCTTACACTATAAAAGTAAATGACACCCAAGCAGCACTCTTACGAGCATTGAAGCTGAAAATATGGCTTATTTTTCCTTTTGTTAAAATTTTGTGTTAGAAGATGGACAAAGATACACAATACATTCTGATCAAAATCAAAGCACAGAGAGAGAAACTGTTTTAATCCTCATGTAATTCGGTTTAATTGACTCTTTTGCAAACACATGTATCACAGACTCATACAACTTCATAACTCTTGAGTCCCACTGGAGCAAAATGGCCACTGGGCTGCCTACTGTACTGCTGGATGCCAGTGTACAGACCCGCATGATCATTTCAAATAGGCACTCAGTCCTCCCAGGAGTCTCCATAGGCGTTTTTCTTCACTGTAACACCAGAGAGAGAGAAAGCAGGAAGAGTGTAGTCACTGAAGACGTCAGCTGTACTTGATTGTTAACCCCTCGACATTGTGTTTCACACATCACTGCAGCAGAAGCTTACCGTCTTGCCTGTATCTCCCTGGCTCCTTCTCGGGCGACGTTTTGAGCAGCGTCTCAGCCTTCTGAGTGAGCGTGACCTCGTAGTTCTCTCGGTTCTTGAGCCTCAGGTTCTCATAGAGGGTGGCCTTCTTCCTGGGCTCCTCGTCGTCCGCTGAAGGTGGTGGGGACAACGGAAGGGACAAAGACAGTTATCTGGGGAACTTGACAGAAAAGTTACTTACTTACTTACTTACCAGAGGTGGGAAGCACATTTCCTAATATGACAGATTTTGTAAAATGGTAAAGCACTAGAATGAGCAGAAGGAGCAATTTCAGCTCATTTTGTCTTTGCATGCATCATAATTGTTCGATGTTTGATTTCAGTAAGTTAAAAAAAGAGAATGTATGTGCACAACAGTTGGTCACCATTCCATTGTATTTGAAGGCCATACACAGTCGCTGTCTGCGGTACCTGTAGCGTTGAAGTCATCTGCTTTGCCCATTGGCATGGGTGACTCTGTGTTGTAGCCGTATTCATTATCTCTGGTGTTGGGGGGCGTCTGTCTGGGCTCTTCTGCTTGCTGGAACATGATGTCAAATGTTGGGTTGTCTGGATCACTCATCTCTGACGGGGGACCCTTGGAACGGGGAGGGGGGGGGGGCAGAAAAAACTGTTAGGGTGTAGTGGTTGGATGGAAACTAATAGGACCACAATCAAGTATGTGTGGTACTCACGGTGGTGGAGGCAGTCCTGTCCTCTGTCTGAGGGCGTCTCCCAGAGGAGAGTGCTCCAGCCTCTTGAACTTCTCCTGGCACGTCTTCATGTACGACATTTTCCCCGCCAGGTAGCCACAGAAGCCAGCGACTGGAGAGACAAACGTACTCAAAGATATCAATACGTCAATACAACAGTATTGACCATTTTCATACCATATTTCATTTCAGCTTGGGCAATTGATATCATCACTGAGAAAATATTGTTAGTGATGTGAATACAATACTGTAGCTAAACTGTTGAAACAAGAGAAATTTGCATCACTTAACCGTAATGCAGCCTTTATAGGATGTCTATTGTCATCAATTTATCACTAATGATAAACACTCTGCTTCACATAGTTGCCAGTTTATTAGGTACACACACTCAAAACTAATGCAGTCGAATACTGTTTTCTGTTTTTAGAGGCTGTAGTTTGTGGTGTTGTGTAACGTTGTATACTAGTGAGTGGTGTTTATATTTATATTTATATTTATTTAGTGCAACCGTGTGTGTGTGTGTGTCACCACCCGGCTTTGACATTCCTGAACTTACAGGCCACTTTGGGCAGAGATCCAAACCTTGGAGATGCAGCCAGAGTTCCTGCAAATAAACAGAGCAGGGTTTATTTAAAGTACACGGTGTGTTTATGACATGTGGCTGCTTCCTCTACAACATGCATAGTATTACTATTATTACCTTTGGCAACCAGGGCTTGAGTGATAGCCACGCCCACCAAAGAGAAGGGCACCGCTGTGAAGAAAGCATGTTGGTGTCAAACTTATTATCAACGTCCCATCTGTTAACTGTGCATTTTAACGCAACATATTAATACATTTTCCGACCCGTGTGTGTGTGAAAGGCAGAAACTTACACCTGTACCAAAAGCTCTCCTGGTTGCACTCTCTGAACACCCTCTTCTCTTCTTCCGTGGGGACGTACTCCACGCCCACTGGCGACTGCAGACACACACACACACACACACACACACACACGCGCGCGCAGACACACACACACACACAAACCAGCGTTTACTTTAATTCAATTAGCTAATTAGCGCTAGACTATGTTGGCAAGCCACGCAGACAGTTCCACTAATGAGATTTTTAACGGAAGACAACAAAACTATCCGCAGTTCATCCAAAGTTGATGCTAGCCAGCTAACACGTTAGCATCCTTAAAGCGTGTTTATCGGCGTGTTTACCTGTGCTCCCATGTGCTGTCGCTCCTCTGTGAAGCCTGTGGTGGCGGAGGACATGTTGACTATGTAGGTGCTAATTTAAGCTTTCAAAGCGACAGTAACAATATGTAAGCTACTCGGCGACCTGACTTCTTCTGTTTGGCACAATGTCATTGCTCCATAACCCGGAAGTTAAAGATAGTCCCATTCGTGGGTTTAACAGAGGTGTTGTTGTCACAATACTTTGGGCAAATTATGTTTAAATAATCATATATAAGGGTTGTCTTAGTGTACGAAATCCCAAAAGAGTACATTAGTCCAGATTAAAACTGGGACTTCTATTTTGAAAGCTCAAGTGAAGGTATTTAAATATCGACCTCCGCCCTCTAGTGGTTGTCAAAATAATTGTATACTAATGTAATAATTTGACTTTTTGGTGTATAAATCGCAGTAACATAAGTCGCTGTAGCATATCACATAAGTATGTATTACATTGCATTACATAACTTGTATCACCACATGATGATTTCTTATAAGGTATTATTTTATAGTGATATAAATTATATCACATATAAAATACCTTATTACTGCAGTATTATTATTGTGTTTTCATATTATGATATGCTAAATCATGATAGTATTATTTTCCAGTTGTATGATGAATTTCATGGAATTGTTACCATATATTACTTAAAGTGCACATATTATATACAACATATTATACTTATATATATCTTTATTTATATTGTATTTTTTATTCACACTTACACCTATATACCTATACTGATATATAAATCACACATCATGGTTGCTGGAGTGGCACAACTGGACTTTTATAAAAGTATTTACACAATTCACCCATACATATATAATCTATGGTATTGGAATGTATTTATTGGCAATTTGATGCTATCACACTCACTTTCTTTTATTAAATAAATAAGTAAGTAAATCATTTTATTAAATATAAATGTTCTTACTTCATATCTTGTCGGTGTGCTGCTGTAATGTGAGATTTACTTTACATTGGTTGTGTGTCCACATAGTAGTGGCTACTTCAATCCATGTTTTGAGGCAGAAATACATTAATATAGGTTATTTGTATCTTATTAATGTCAAGAAGTTTCCAGTAAGAATAGAATGGTACAATGTTGTAATGGCATTGTGCGGTGCCTAGGAGATGCTGTTGCACTTGCACACTGTATGACAAAGAAGTCTTTGATTTTTCTCTTATATGTGGTTGCGTAATGTACAAAAAATATGTTTGATGCTAGTACTGAAAACTTGATAAAGCTAGTGTTCATATAGTAGAGAGATGGAACACAATATTGAAAGGAAGAGACAGGGGAGGAGAAGAGTGGCTAAATCACAATCAATTGGCTAACATTTATTGATAAATCTAAAAATAGAGATTCATTTTTTCCTTCGTTCTTCCAGTTATCATCCATTCGGTTTTACTGGCAACACGAGACAACAGGAAGGGCCAGGCCAAAATTCCTTTGTGTGTTATCTGTTTCTGGTGTGCGTGACAGAAGAGGGTGTTATGGACACACCAGAGCGGCAGGGCATTTTGGCCGATCACAGCAGCACTTGGGGAGCAGTTTTGTCCATCACCGATCAAATGGTTACTCGGCTGCATTGGGCCACCGAGGGGCACCTGTGACGATCAACTGGGTCATTGTGGGGTCACTTGAGCCAACCACATGGGCCACTCAATACGCCTTTAATGCAAGGCTGCATCACACTGCATTTGTTGTGGCTATGCACCTAATATACTGGCAACTATGTATATATTAAGGCATAAATCAAGCATGGAGGTGTTTCATTAGGACATGCCCCCTTGATTAATAATGTTCAAGAAAGGACACTTGTGTACCACTGAGAGAAAGACAGATAGAAGCTGTCAAAGATGACGTCCTCACCTAATGTTGTCGAGTCACAACTTCCATGGAAATTCAATGGATCAGTCAGGCCTAGGCTGACTTTCTCTCCTCTGAGTTCTCTCAGCCACCATTAACAGTTGTATAGACCTAAACGTGGGTCATTGATATGTTGAAGTATTGAACAGTGGGTAGCTGTATTAACAGAATCAATAAATTCCTCCAAAAAAAAATCTCATGGTGTGCCAAAAATAGACCGTAGCCACATACACGAACTCTGTAGGGCACAGTGCACATCCGGCAACCCCCCCCGACCCAACACCCCCATGTGGTCTATCTACTATCTCTGTTAGTGGGATAAACCGTGACCAGGGGAGCCGTCATCTCTGCCACTCCTCTCCCAATGGTCCACCGGCCGGAGGTATCATCAATCTGAGGGCGGTAGAGTATTTCTTTTTTTAAAGGCAATGCAGGATTTTTTTATTTAAAAATGGACACATTTGCAAAACAAACTAGCAGACAATAGAACCATGTAAGAATCTTAGACGTAAAACCGGCGAGGCATTTCGGTAAGTTATACAGGTTAGTAATAGCAGGTGCAGGTGCAGGTGTAGGTGCATTTGATGGTATAGACACCACCAACTCAAAACGTATCAGCTACCATGTGAGTTGGATTGCAACACATCTCACAAGAGAGATTACAACAGTGTCGGGTAAGAATAGTCGAGGTTTGTAAGGTGTGCTTATCTATGAGACGGAAGTTCCCCCGGTGATGTGAAAGGTACACATCACACTCTCCTCTGCCCTAAGCGGACCCCCACCCCCACTCCCTCACCTCAACCTTTCATTCCACCTGGGTGGTGGAAAATCATTTCTAAACCTGAAGCGCAGGTGAGCTCAGCACACACAGGGAGCATGGACTCTCTCCGCCTGCCACAGGTGAGGACAAGCATTCTATTCTACTCTCATTCTATTGATCTGTTTGCTTTATTACTGCTGTCACCTGGAAACTGGATGTGACATGAATTTTGTATTATTATATTATAATAATTATTATATGCCCGAAGGGTACATTAAACACTAAATTGTATTACTGCTATCCTTACAATTATGATTAATACTGGAATAATGCACATACAAATATACCAATTACATTTTTTTTAACACACTGCACTAACATAATGGTAATATTTGTACATGATGCTATTAGCTGTGTTGTTACTTTATGATATTAAGATATTTTAATACTAGTATGTTAACGTACAAAAGGTATCTTAGGGTTTATGATGTAAGTCATATTATTAAATTAAAAACTCTTACATTTATATGTCAGAGAATTGTATCAATCGTAATGAATACGTTCAAATAACAAACTGATTTAACATCTCAGTCCAAAAGTAACACTTTAAAATATCAATTTAGCGGGCAGCTTTCTTTTTGTGTCATGTTGTTGCGAATGGAATTTTACTGCAGCTAGACCATGTGACGATAAGATCAATACGCTGGCATGTGAGGGGGCAGTGTGTATTTGTGTGTGTGTGTGGTATTTTTGAACCAGATGCCCCAGTAGTCACACTGTAATTTTAAATATAGTGACATAATATGATGCCAACCACCAGTATGATGTACTGTATGTGGCAAACGTTCAGGTTGACATATTTGATTTGCAATCTCTTTACAAAGTGTTCCTATCAGCACTGACATCTCATGCCAAGAGGCTTTTACTTGCATACAGTTCCTAGAGAGAATCATCTGTGCCTCTTAGACAGTGACATATAAAATGTAAGAAGCATCATCAACAATAAATATCATTTTTTGGAATTAAACCCTTATATGATGTTTTCTTTTATCCCCCCTAGCCAACGGCTGCTCAAAACAATGGCAACGAAGACCACAATGAGAGACGTGGAAGCAAGAGGAAAGGTATTTTTCATATTGTATTAAAATGCAGCAGTTACATGTAGTGTACATAGTTTATTCAGGCGTCTTGTTTGTCCCAGAGGTCAAAGCGAGCCCTGCACATTCCACCATGGCTTTGATTGAGGAGGAGCCGGAGGACGCAGACCCGTGGGACCTGCCAGAGCTGAATGATACTGGGGTCCCATGGACAGGTGAGGACTTGTAATGTCACATTATTGTTAACAAGTGTTGTCTTATCCTTGTACTTTTAAAGGAACATGTGTGTCCTGATTAGATATACATGGTCAGTAAGTAATACATTTACATGCCTACTATTGGGTTACACACAGAGCCTACAGCAGAAGTGATAAAGGGTCCCACATATCATTGTTACAAGACCTCAAGAGCTATTAAGTACGCTGTTTTTGTGCAGTCAAATAATTAAGCGCACAGCTATACATCACATGTTTATAAATTCACAGTATATGTAACTCTCTCTTACAGTACTATAAAAAGTATTCACCCCCCCTTGGAAGTTTTTATGTTTTAGCATCCAACAACATCAAATAGAGATAGAATCAATGTGGCTTTTTTGCCCATTTCTTTGTAGATATCGGCCTTCTGCCTTCTCTCTAATCTAACTACTAAGCATTAAAGAAAATACTTCCTACATGAAACTGCTCACAACATGGTCTGTGGATGATCTTTGAGTAATCTGGTTATGATTTCTGGAAAGAGACATCGCCGTTGAGTTTTTCAAATGTACTTTTTTTGCCGGGTGCCATATAGTGCCATTATATTGGAGAGAAGGCAGACATCTCTACAGGCGATATCTCCAACACTCTGCAACTCACACCAGAACAATCAAGACTGATAAGTAGCACTACATGTAAAAGGAAAAAAATATGTATTTTTGATTTTGTTGTAACTGTGCTCTTCTGTTGTCCCTTTGACATTCAAAAATTATTTTTTTTTCTTTCTGTTCAGCATCGTCAAAAAAGGCACATCTTATCTAATTTGATTCAAAACTTCCAACAGCGGTTAATACTTTTTCTAAGCCCTCCAGTTGGCTGAACTCCCAAGGCATCGATGCATCAATAGACTGACAATAAATCACATCAGAGTTATTGTTCTGATTATTTAGGAAGCATAGAGGTAATACAAAGTAATGGATGTGGTAAATACAGTAGCCAGACAGACAGCTGAGCCTGTGCCAAAACACTGTAGGCACTGATTGTTTCCAATGAAACTATGTGGGCTGTGCAATAGTGCAAAAACCACAGGTGTGATTACTAATATTAATGAGGGCTGCTCTCCATTTAGCTTTAACAGTTCCAGGGTCCTACTATGTTGCATGCTGGCTAACTGACATAGCCTATTGAGACACTTAAATGTAACAGAGCCAATGTTTATGGCAATAATCACACCTGTGTTTTTCCTGCTGCGACAAATATAAATGTCTGTCGTATTTAAAAAAAAAAGGCCCAAAAAGGAAAATTTGGTTTAAAAATAATAGTGTTTTCTTTTTTGTGTCTCCATCATGTCTTGTCTCTGTCCCA